TGATAATGCGCGTTGTTTGTTAGAGATGGGTCCCAGTTTCTCGCCATCACAATCCATCTCTACACCGGTTCTACGAAAGTTTATCTGTGCTCTACAAGAACTTCAAGACAAGCTCCGTAAAAGGGCAAACTTTGAGAGTGGATGCGCGAACGAAAGATCGAGTGAAGCATGGCTGCCGATACCTTTCCCGGAATGTTCTTCAAACAGCAGGATGCGAATCCTGGCGTTGACGCAAACTTTCGTCTTTTTGCCGACGATGTCTTTAGAACTCTAGCAAGGTTTCGTAGAAGTAAGATGCACTCAAACATCAGTAGAACGCAGAAAGAGGCCATAAAACAGATTCAGAGAATGATAGAGGCTGCTGAGATACGCTTATCGATAAGTGATAAAGGCGGCGATTTTGTAGTGATCCCTCATCATCTAGATATCGCAATAACAGAGAGACATCTTCAAGATGCCACTTTATATAAACTGTCCACGAAAGATGAGTATCAGAAGCAATATCGCAAATTGAACAGAGAATGGACAAAGACAGCGAAGGCAGCAAACCTAGCGCCTGATATCATCAGCCGCCTTAGAAATGATCAGCCAATCTGTCCCGTACTTTACCTTCTCATTAAAACGCATAAAATCCAATCCGAACGCGATTTCGCATCTGATGATCCCGCAACTTTCAAGGTCAGACCTAAAATTAGTTGCGTGAGTGGACCCAAGGATAGGATCGGATGGTATCTTAGTAAAATCTTAGTACAGCTACTTCAATTCATCCCTTCCCATCTAAGCAATACGCAGATGCTTCTAGACCGTCTACGTAAGACACGTGTTTCTGCTAATCATGCCATGGAGTCATTCGACGTTAGCGCGTTGTACACGAATGTATTCAATGACTCTGCATTGCAAGTCGTTTGTGAAAATCTGATAGAACATGAACAAGCCATAAGACTTTTCGGACTATCTATCGCGCAAATAATGGCCCTGTTGAAAGCGTGTCTAGAGTGCAATATAATCAGGTGGTCAGGAAAATATTTCGCTCAAATCCGAGGATTGGCTATGGGTCAGCGATTGGCTCCTACTCTAGCGGTAATTTTTATGGCCAAAATCGAGACACCCCTGTTGCAGTTGCAACCCCTGCTTTATTGCAGATACATCGACGACTGCTTTATCATTTGTAACACACAGGCGGAAGTTGATGAGTGCTTTGAGTTTATGAACGCGCAATCAGAACATATAAGACTAACTCGGGAGAAACCTAATAACGCATGGCTGCCTTTTTTCAAAGTTCAAATCAGCATTGCTAGTGGGACCCAGAAAACGAAGTGGTTTCGAAAACCCAGCAACAAGAACATCCTTGTCCACTCCCGCTCAGCACATCCTTTACATACTAAAAAAGCTGTGGTCAGAAATGTGTTTCGCACAGCTGCGAAGGTTTGTAGCGGTCGAGAGGAAAAGACGGAGTCACTAGCCTTGGCGCGTAGTATAGCTTCATTGAACGGTTATGAAAACAACATGACGCGGTGTAGGAGCCAACAGGGATGCTTTGTAGACAGAGCAAGAGCGTCCGCAGCAGAAAAGATACCCTTCTGCATACCCTTCATCTCCGATGAAGTGAGCACCGCCATTCGGCGGTGTCTGAGGAGAGCAGGGCTAGACAATACAGTTTCGGTAGTAGATATACCTCCGAACAATTTAAAACGTATCCTTGTTCGGAATCGCATTTACGACCGCGATTGCCCTATGCCGAACTGTCCGATATGCCCAGCAGCAAGGGACGGAGACTGCATGAGTACGGGTGTTGTATATCTCATATCATGCAAGGATTGCGGCAACGAATACATCGGAGAAACGGCACGCCCTCTGAGCATACGTATCAAGGAACATCTCAAAGGTAAAGATAGATCACGCACATCCACTCCATTGGGCGCCCACAGAGTGCAAGATCATCAAGGAGTTGATTTTGAAGTGAAATTAGAGATTCTAGCGCGCGAAGCTCAGACATCCACTCGCAAAACCTTAGAAGCCTTTTGGATTCATTTTAGAAACCCTAAAATGAATCGCAAGGAGGAGTGTCTCTCTATCACACGAGAACTCGCACCGTATATTTTGACCATGTGAAGACATGTTTGATTCCTTGCTCAAGCGGTCAGTAAGCACTCGCTCGTACTAAACCAGAACTTTACCGGCGAACGAAAGGTGAATACTGCGTGTGGCAGCCTGCTCGTGGTCGAAAGAAAGCTAAGAATTTTGCCTGTGGGATTGAGGAGATGTTTAATCGGGTAGTCTGTAAATTGTTTTCGCCCATTTCAGGCTCTGAAGAAGGCGAATTATTGCCGAAACGTTAGCCTAAATAAAAACTTACCAATCTCGGTCGTGGCTAAACAATCGAATAAACACAGTATTCTTCATGCCGAGATTTATAGAAAGTCGAACTTTCCGATTAGTTCGGCAAATAATTTCTTTCAGCGAGCGCTGGCCAAACTTTCAGCAGGCGCTCGGACTGTTTTTGAGCAGTTTCGGGCGTACGTCAAACGAATGTGAGACTGTATGTGGCAAAGGTGTCATCGATGGTTAATTACTCAAGTTTGAGGTACTTTCACTTAGTGGAAAGTACCTGAGGGTTGTGAGGTCCTCCACAAAGGACTGCGCCGCCCTCAAAAATTTTGCACATTCTTGCGGAAAGTCCGCAATGCCGTCACTGGGCCGCAGCTTATCCATAGAAAGACTGCGATAGTTCTCCTAGCGTTCGTCTAAAAATTGGCCAAAATTATTCCAAATTTCTGCAAGCGGGCCGCAAGAAATCAACGAACTATTTTTCCGGAGCCTGCTTGCTCAAAATTCGCATGAACGCCTGCCCCCGGCGATTATCTGAGTAAGTGTAGATGATAAGCGGTCAAATCAACCAGGGGAAGGGCAGTCGGAAACCCGAGAATCCATTGCGCCTCCTACATTCCTGCAATTGTGGTACTTTTGGAGAGCACGCATATGTGACAATCCGGACTCCGATGCCAATTGGCCAGGTTGAAAAAGTGAAAAATTTGTTCGAACTTGCGAACGTTGCGTCCTAGCGATGGAACCATGTTGGGGGCAATGGACAAAAGAAAACAAACTGAAGAAACAGTCGACGCATTTGGCGGTTATTGGTCTAGTTGTGCGATCTTGGCCCAGTGCTCGTTCTACCACCTTGCCACGGCACTTCGCGAGAAGAAAAGTCAGCTATTCCACCACCAGGACATCTTCACACAAAAGCAAAACGACCTGTCTGCATATTACAACCAAGCCCTTGTGAGGAAGGAGCAACTTAGCCACTTGGACGACGACCGTGCCGACCAATTCAACCATCTTAGCCCTGCCGAAAGCGTTTGAGCGGGCGTGCACAGAAGTTGTCGTGGAGGATTCCAACAAACTCGTTCTACAATCATTTGGATGACATGGCCGAGCAATTGAACAAAATATCCATCAGCGCTGCTATGCTATGGATTTCGCCATAAGGGAGCCCGAGGTCGGACCAAATGACACGCAACATGCAGGCCGTTGAAAGGCATCTGTAATGCGGAGGACTGTTTCTTGTCACCCTAGACTGCCGCCACCCTTCAAGAAAGCACGCAAAGATGAATGGGACGAAATCCGCAAGGTGTGCGTTGAAGTCGTCAGGATGTTGACAGGACCAGCGCGAAGATCTGACAAGTGATAGGCCACTACGGACTGCTGAAGGAGGCCATCCCACGACTCCACCCTGCAACATGTCTCGGAGTCACCCCTCAAAAGGGGAGGATAAACTTCATGGATGGCAGACCCTGACATTTTTAGAGCAACTGCGCGAGGCAGCGTCAAATACGCTGCTCTTACCCACGTTCAAGCTACAGTGTAAAAACTCAGGACAAGAACACCTTAGGGATGACGGAGGATCGGACACGAAGAGAAGAAAGACTATGCAGAAGCCCGAATTGATCTATTTACGCGATCCGATGATGAAGCGCTGAGAGCACACCCCACACATTAGGCCTAAAGCATACCTCACGCGATTCGGCCGAATCGCCACTTCCACGCGACTTGGCAATTTGCCAGATTTCTACAAATTTGTCGTGCGCGATTCTCGGACGCATATTTGGGTAGCTTGTGTAAGTTGTTGTAAACGGAGCAAGTTCTGACCAAAGACAGCGCATTAACGACGAATTACGAAGAGTCGTTGTTTTGCCGAATCGCGCAGCGACCGAAATCGCGCGAGGTATGCCTTAGGCCTTAAGCAAGGAGGACAGTATTGCATTGACGAGTCTCCGAATGCGGCTCTCCTTCGACGAGCGGCTTGTGAAGAGGAGAAGACGATCGCAAGAGCGAAGATGATACTATGCTTGAGATATTCCTTTGGTTTGGTTTTCCATTGTTGCGTATTGTTTTGAATATTGGTACAAACCGCGTCATGTGTTCAAGTTTACAATCAGCTATCTAAATTTTGAAGCGACAGTCCAAACCTGAACCTACAGACACGTACAAATTTTTTTAATCTGCGTTCTCCTCTCCACGGGATGTTAATGCATGCGGCCCTAAGCTAATGATCAAACTCATGTTTTAGAAGCTTGGTAGTTTTGCTGTGGAGATTTTTGTTGCAAACCGTCATCTTTCAAACTTTGAAGAGGTAACCTGCCGTGAACCTAGCGGATGAGATATTTGCTAACCGCAGTAACGAACAGAAGCAGTAAATGCAGTACTATCATACTAAGGTTTGAAAGTCGTATTTTTTTGTAATGTACTATACGATATGCGATGGTAAATAGATGAATGCTAGAGAATTCTGCCAATCTATTACGGCAATTTCTTCTCGATGAAAACGTTGAGAAATTTAATCAAGGGAAGAAAAAAATCACTTAAGGGTGGTAAGAAAGATTGAGTTCTGAGATTTTCGAATATGTTAAGAGTTGATCTTCATTTCACTTTCTGTAAAATAGCATCACTTGCCTTGCTGAAAATGTGCATGTTCTACAAATGTCTGTTTACCATAAACTCACGCGTCATAAACCAAAGCATTTCCTCGAGGAGCTCGTGGACTAGCAGATGGGCAGTGTCTGATATTGGCTCGCAACGCTTGCTTTTCAAGTCCACAGCACCAGCTCTAAAGCAATTCCTTGAAACTCCGGAAATGATGTGAAATTTGTGATCCTCAACAACAATGCTGGAGAGGACCTTTACACTATCAAAGTCGAGAACGTCCAGTTGCAGTGAGGCTTCATAACCTTATCATATGTTATACGTCTTATGAAATTGCTGATGTGTAGATGGTGGTAGGGGAAGAGAACTTTCCTTTAGGCAAGAAATTTAGCACTTCTGGATCCAATATTCTTCGCTCAGCTCTACCTCAGATAATCACCGGGGGAAGGCGGCCATGCGAATTAGCAAGCGGGCAACGGAAAAATAGTTTGCTGATATCTTGCGGTACGCGTGTAGAAATTTCGAATAACTTTGGCAGATTTTAGACGAACGCTCGGAGAACTATCGCGGTCTTTTTATGAATAAGTTGCGGCCCAGTGGCCCCATTCTCGCGGATTTTCCGCGAGAATATGCAAGATTGTTGAGGGCCGCACGGTCTTTTGTGAAGGACCACACTGCCCAGGTACCCCGCAAGAAGGTACCTCAAACTCGAGTAATTAAACTATCGATGACACCTCTGCCCCACAGAGTCCCACCTTTGTTCGGCGTACGCCCAAAACTGCGTAAAAAGAGTCCGAGCGCTTGCTGAAAGAAATTATTTGCCGAACGCTTGCAAAAAATGCTGTTTTGCTGTCCGCTGGCAGAATATGCAACCGTAAAGGAAGTGCCGCCCGCTAAAGGTTTGGCCACGCCCCAAAATTCTGCTGACCGCTGGCAATAGAGCGCGAGTTTGCGGAGCCTGCCCCGGCGATGCTTCGGCTGGATTCATACTAATCCGGATGTTCGGGAATAGTTTCAGCACAGCGCACAGTGCTGGAACTGTGCTGTATGCGCTGCAGCCGCCCGCATGCACTTTGACTCCAGGAATTCGAGATTTTGACGTTTTTAACAGTTTTTTCCAGAGTTCAATTATCCTGGTTTTTCTCACTCGTTTTTCCGCAATGGGTAATTTTCACAGGCATCTGTCTTGAGTCAGAACATGCCTGCAAGTTTGAACGGCGAAAAATCGGGACTTTTCCTTAATTTACTCATGAGTTTCATTTTTGAACATGCTCAGCTTCTCACTGTATTGCTTTGTTATTACTTAGAGTAATAACAAAGCAATATAGTGTTCCAAACAACGCCTAAATAGCATATAATCCTTACTATAATATACATTCGATCCTTACTATAATATACATTCGATCATTTCAAGCGCGACGGCAGAGTTTTCTGCGTCCCTCCTATCCTTAACCCCAGCGTGACGGAGGGTCCGGTTGCTGAAGGAATCCAGAAAAAGGAATGCGAAAATATAACGGCGCTCAGTGATGGCGAGAGGAGAGGCCAGCAGCCATTATGCCGGCGAGAGATTCGCTCGCACTATGGGTCCCGTGCGGAGCGGAAATTTTTCAACATTGAGCTAAGCGGCTACCATTTGGCACAGGGATGTATGTGTGAAGGCTGATCACAAAAACATTACATAGAATTACCGATAATCTATATGCGGTTTTACACAACTTATACTCAAGCGCTTGCACGTGAGATCCCACATTCGCGCATCATCGGCATGGGCGCTTGCCTCTGACGGGATTATGAACTGTTCGGAAACACCTACTCGAGCGAGAGATTGACACATAAAATGAAAATTTTGAAAGATTGCCAAAATTCGGAATTTTAAACCTTAAATATGGAATTTCGAAGGTTATCCTGGTTACCACAAAGAAAAATTGCTCTAAAGCAAAAGCATAGCCACTGAAAAGAGATTAGAAAAAAACTGCATTGAGTAGTTTTTGACATCTTTTTCATCTTTAGTCCAGGTGCGAAAAGAACTTCCGGAACGGCCTAATATTAAATGTTGAACATAGTTGATGATAGATAATCAACAATGACTCCTCTAAGGCTCGTATGCACGTACATCGCCGCTGGGGAGGGGAGGGAATCTGAGAGGGGATGCGTCATATCTCGCTACTCTACGTATCTTTCTTCTTCTTTCCCTATCTTGCTTATCAACTTTTCATACACTTATACCTGCACATAATGGATGCCAGATTACTTCTATACAAAATTGGTATAGTCGCCCTCCCCCCACTAGACACCTAGTGGACGAATTCGAATTTGAATTGGAGCACGCAGGTTGCGGCAGAGCGCGGCACCGTCAAATGCATTTCAAACTAACACAGTTTTCTTTGTGTTTCACTGTCGTTGCATAGTGACTTCTTTTTGTTTTAATGATGATTGTGATCAAAATTGAAGAATTTTTTTTGCTATGCGATGTTTCGTACTGCTATGCTCGTTTCTTTACTCTGTTTTCAGGAAAGGTTGGAAAAACGATGCATATGGGGAGTTTTTGACACGAAGTATTTGATGAATCACCACTTTGAGACTTACCGAAAAAAATTCCACCAGTTTTCAAACTTAGGCGTTTTTCCAAACTTAACGTGGAATCGTAGTCAAAGAAACGAGCATAGAAGCACGATCCATTGCTCAAACAAAAGCGACAATTTCAGTACGGAGAGAGAACTGTCAGCATTCGAACATGAGGTTGTATCGTCGGGAAAACACAAAAAAAATTGTTCGAGATTGAAGTGACAGCTGCAGGTGCCGCGCTCTGCCACAACCTGCGTGCTCTAGTGCAAATTCGAATTCGTCCACCAGGTGTCTAGTGGGGGGAGGACGACTATATTTTGCCATTTTGTGGGATCCCTGGGGATCACCTCTTATTTTCGAAGGATATATTGCTGAGAAGTCAATGGAAAAGCTGTAATGTACTGAGGATAAATTTACTACGGCGCTGCTAAGCATATTTTCGACAGAAAAATGGAATCTGAAGACTGTGAATTTTTCGATGATCTCGCGAGCTAGGGATTACCGAAGATTTCGATATCCTACGATTTCACTTATTTCTACTATAATCATCTTTAGCAGTGCCGTAGTATATCCACAGTACAGTTTTACAGCGTTTCATTGAGTTCTCGGGAGATAAATGGCATTGAAATTGAGAGGTGGTGCCCTAGGGATCCCTCACACAAAATAGTGAAAATCTAATCAATCACGCCAGTAACCTGGCTTCCATTATGCGCAGGTAAAGTGTATGAAAAAGTTTATAGGCGAGATAGAAAAGGAAGAAGAAAGATACGTTGAGTAGCAAGATATGACGCATCCCCTCTCAGATCCCCTCCCCTCCCCAGCGGGGATGTACGTGCATACGGGTCTAAGTGAGATGACAAGAGAGAAGACTGTTCTGCAAAACATAAGTTTCTAAGAGCCCCTCTGCAATAAGAAACAGTTTCATTGATTTAGGTCTGATTCCTAAATAGTCCGTTTCTTCAATTCATAGCCGTGCGGCTTCTTGCGAGCTCAAAATCAGGTTATTTGGTAACTGATGTGCTGATGTACAAGTAACAACCTTGTGGCTCTAGAAAAAAGAAAACCCAATCGCAGCTACTGGACAAATACCGTGGAACATTATTTGAGAAAGATTGTAATGAAGATATGAGAACCGCTTTGTTGGACACGTACGCAGAAGGTCCACTTGCTTTTGGAGTAGTTAGGCGAAAAAATATCGTTCTTTTTATATCAAAAGTTACTAAAAGCAACTGTCTAAGATCACAACTCCCTCGCACTCTGCAAATTTCTCTGCAATGAAGTCTTGTGCGTTGCTTACCAGTTTGGGCATAATTTTGGCTTGTGGCAAAAGTCCTTCATGGCCATTGGGTTGTCTATGCCTGAGCAATAGAGATCGTCTGTCATTTACTATGTCCAGGATGTCGTCCACTTGTCTTCTAGTGAGCTTGCAGTCTTTACAAAATGGAGCTGGATGACATCGATGGCAGCCCTGAAACAAAACTCTTCACCACAATTTGCCACCTATTGAGATTCGAATAGAAACACATTTTTTGACTTTTTGTGTCTCTCAAATACGAGTTTCGGATTCAAAACTTGGAAAACATTTTATCAGAGCGATGTTTTGTCGGTATTGAGTGTTGTGGCTTTGCTTGTTTCATAGCTGCTCAAATTCTAACTGTTGTATTATCTAAAAATATTCTCGCTTATCTCAGTTTCGTCAATTCGAACAATTTATTGCTATCATGTTAGCATTCAGTCATACAAAAAGATAGAGAACTGCAGAAGACTTTCCTCGATCCTGCCTTCGTGCATGCATGTAGAGAGTTGCAAAAGACTTTCCTCGATGCCTTCGTACACGCATGGCTTATCTTTTTACAGTCGAGTAGATTTTCCGCTTAATATAGTGTGCTTGCACTGAAGGTGAAATGCGGTCAAATTTGCGCGTGAACAGATATACTGGTCCACTAGTCGGTCGGTGGTCGAATTTGAATTCGAACTAGCAGGCCGCCCCTCAGCCAACATGAGCTTTTCTCTTATTTTCTTCGTTTCTTTGCTATCTCTCGTACTGCGGCAATTTCTTAATCAGACTTTTAGATTTCGTCCCACTAACTATTGTTTTATGCAGTTGTGCTCGTTTGTTTTATAATTTTCCAAGTAAACCGGGAAGAAGGATGCTGCTGGAGGTTTTTGGATGAAAAATCTCTTTTTCGGTAAGTGATATATACACAAATAAGATTTGATGAACTGTGTCAAGTTTTTCATTAGAATGTGTACTCTAAACTACTTTTTCAAGATAGGGCTGAAGTTTCTCTCAAAAATGTTTGTTTCAAAGAATTAGCGGTATGAAATTTGAAAATCTGATTAAGAACATTGCCGCAATAGAGAGATAGCAAAGAAACACGAAGGAAATAAGAAAAAAGCTTGTGCAAGCGGTTGGCTGAGGGGCGGCGTCTGCCGCGCTTTGCCGCGGTCGGCCTGCCCCAGTTCGAATTGAAATTCGACCACCGACCGACTAGTGGGGTGAGGGCGACTATAGCTGCGCTCGTGACGCCGGCGCCAATTGCGCGCGCAAAAGGCTGGCATTACTGGCGTGGCTACTTGTTCACGCGCAATTTTGACCGCATTTCACCTTCAGTGCAAGCACACCTATATTAAGCGCAAAATCTACTCGTATGTCTTTCGCATTGCCGAATCGTCAGTGAAGCTATCAACGCACCTGCTTCGTGTGCTGTCTATCTTGGGTACTGCGTCCAAGTGATGAGGAAGAGCATTTGCCGTGTTTTCTTCCACAAGGCTTTTCCTTGTGATGACGATGAAAGCTGTCGTCAAACTCTGACTCCCGCTCGTCCTTGATAGTCAAATCTACATTAATATCCACTGGTTTCACTCGGTAGTTGATATTGATAGGCTGCACTACTACGTTTGGTTCCTTATTGACGTGATATGTTATTTCTGGTTTCACATATGTTATTTCTGGTTTGAAGTGTATGCTTTCATGTGATATGTCGTAATGAATTTTTGGAGGCAAATTTGCGAAGCTCATCAAATTTACGGTTTCTCCGGTATGTATATTCCCATCAGTAAACTCTTGAACATTTTCTACGTGGGTTTCATGAGAACTTGAGCTGTGGCTGCACTCATGGGAACTTGAACTGTGGCTGTACTCATGGGTAATCACATTCTCTTCAACATCCTGAGCTTGTCCCGCATCAAATTGTGAGAAGATTACTAGCAGTACAAGCAGCATGCCCAAGCTGCAAAACTGAGTGATAAAATCGACATGACTAAATTTCGAGAGCTATATATCAGAAGAAATGTGAAATCTCTTGGCAGCCAAAAACAGTCCATTGTTAGACAGTGGAAATATCGGGTTGTACAGTTGAGTAGATTCTCCTAATATAGTGTGCTTGCACAAAAGGTGAAATGCGGTAAAATTTGGGCGTGAGGAAATAGCTTCGACTGTGACGCCGGCCAATTGCGCGCGCAAAATGCCGGCAGTGCTGGCGCAGCTACCTGTACACGCGCAAATTTTACCGCATTTCATCTTCTGTGCAAGCGCACTATATTAACCCATTGACGACGACGCCTAATTTTGCGTGGCGGCGCTATGGGACTACGCGATCTTGCACAACATTTGCAGCGGGGAAAAGGTTTTTGGATTTTTTACGGAATGTAAAAATGTTTTGCAAACAACTACAGCCGTCTTCTTGAATGACGAAGTTTACAAGTTCCAAAAGTGCAAAAAATTGGAAAAAATGCTGAACTCTGGAAAAAATACTAAACCTAGAAAGGATATGATTTTGCAAGCGGTGTGGGCCACCGGTGGTCCACATTGTCCCTGGCGGCAGAAAGTGCGTGGGCCACCGGTGGCCCACATTGTCGTCAATAGGGTTAAGCGGAAAATTACTCGATTGTACATTATTGTACGGTGCCTAAATGAGACAACAATTGAGGCTACAGAAATTGGACCAGAACTTTTATACTAGACTAAGAACTTATGAACAGTACAAAAAAGTTTCCTTCAACAAGTAGCAAAAGAAGTCATGACCATACATGGTTTGTTGAAATTCAAATTTTTCCCATCTCCGTTTATGGTGGTCTTGATCGCCACGATTTGCATTCGTGGCGATAGCTGCAGAAATTGTCATATTGCGAAAAAATTCGCACAATCACACACTTCGATAGCACACATGGTTCAAGTCTAGAACTCCAAAAGGCACATTTCTAGTATACTTTGAGATACAGCATCGAGACTATTAAAATTTTGAAAGCTAGAATTTCCCAGAGCAGACGTTAAAGCTTGTTTTTTCTATTGAAAACCTGCTTTTCTCTCATCAGGCCTAAATTTTTATGACAAGTTTATTTCTGCGAATAACGCATAACTTTGGGGAAAAATGTTATGACAATCGCTATCAATTACGAAAATGTGTGCGATTATGATTAAAGTTTTTTTTATGCTTTGTTGTGCCATTTTGTGCCTATATACCTAAATTATGTTTGCTGCTTTTCCATAAATATGAAGGCATAAGGATGTGAGATTCTTCTAACTAAGAGCGTGAGTTGACTACGCGAAATAAGGTTGGACGTTATGGCGTCTCATAAATTTCTTCCGCTAGTGCCTCATACAAATACAGGTGCCTGACTTTCTAGGCGAGCCCGATTTTGTGAGCCGCATAGGCATTCCAAGCAGCTTATTCTTGATCAGCTAGTGGCGAATGACTGGAACACACATTTGAGGGCATTCTATCACGAAGGATATCCAGTCTGTAGTCATCTACTTCTTCGCTTTCTCTCGCTGTCGCTGCTCAGACATCCGCGGTTAAGTCTCGACGTTGAAAATCGCATGTTCCAACGATATGACAAGTATAGTCATCCTCATTCGGCTCATAAGTATGCAAAGGGGGAACATGGCCTCTCCAGGATAAAGGGGGTCATAGGGGTTCCGCCTCTCCAGTTTGAAGGGAGTATAAGGGCCGACGGGGGGGGGGGAGGGCGGCCGCCTCTCCCAGCTTCTCATATAAAAATGCTTTGATTTTTTTTCAATTAAAAATTGGCTTAATTCCGGAAAAACGAATACAACCCCTTTCACCCGATAGGAAATCCCCTTTTTTCCTGGCAAACTAAATATTTTCGGAAAGCGGATGACGAGAGGATTCCATTAAAGTGCAAAAGACTCTTCTAGCTTTTCATATAGTGAAGTTTTGAAATTTTTATAAAAAAATCCCCTTAATTTTAGAAAAACAGTTACGATCACCTTCACCACATAGGAGATTCCTTTCTTTCTCGCATGCTATATGTTTTCTGAAAGCTTTCAACAAGTGTAATTCACTGTATAGCTAGAAACTCTCCTATAGGGTAGGGGGACGAAAGCCCTCAGTTTGAGCCATCTTTTGCGGTCAACAGGTCCTTTCGCAGTGTTGTTGCATGCCGTCCCAGGACCAGCAGTCCGCGGAGGCGGCCCAAACTGGCCGCTTTTCCTCTCCCCACTCTCCTACCTTTCCATATGAAAAAGTTACAATTTTTATGGAAAAATTAGCCATCTGCTTAGAAAATTTATTCCTCTTCAAAAGATTGCAATTCAACTGCGCACCGATCATCAAAGTTCATTTATTATTTCACTTATTCAAGCAAATACGTAACTTCACTGACATATATACACGAAGGCTTCACACGTGAATTTTTCTCCAGGCTTTTTCGTCGTTCTCCAAAAGTAAACAATAGGCGGCAAATTTCCGACGTACTTCTCAGTAAACCTGCAAATAAGTTTTTGACAATCATAATAATAATATTTAGAATCAACATGTCACTAAATTTGTTTTTGATGATGCCGATAGTTTTGTATTTGCTTAAAATGTTGATTTCTTAATCTCACTTCTTCCAGTTCCTCATCGGCCGTGGGTGAAGAGGGGTCAACTGGGTTCCGGTCCAGGGGTGAAAGGGTTAGGAACACATTATTCCCTTTTCACATGCATTAGAGCGCCGCCAGGGCTCGGCACGAGGTGGCTTTTTAAATTTTTCAAAAACGAAGTCCCCGTAGACTTCGCCAGAAAAATACGACGTCACCTATGACGCAACCATGAATGCATCAGGCACGGACAAAATAAAAGATGGAACAATAAGAGTAACATCAAACAGACGAAAAAGAACTAAATCTTTCGATTCTCCGAAATGGCGGGCTGTGTCCGGCGCGCACCATTGCGCGCCTGGAGCAGGTTTGTCACCTCCATACAAAAATATTTTGAGGGCTGCAACTAGGCGAGAAGGAGGGGGTTTAGACTGGATTATAGGTCGTAAAAGGCACTTTTGGCCTACCGTAATCAGAATTAGGCGTGACCGTAATGTTGGCTGCACAGACATGTAACTTCACGCCTCGGCCTGTTACCGCGCGATATGCCGCCTCATCATTGGGATGAAAATGATGGCTTCCTTTGGTTTGGCTAATCCATCCCGAATATCTATTCTGTTTTCCCGTTACTTCTCTTTCCTCCTGGGGAGTGTTGCGAAAGAAGTTGCGAAGGAAGAGATTAGATTGTATCTTCTTGCTGCAATCACCGATGACATCGTTCACTGCTGGATACATGGTTAAGTGTGGCACCAAGATAAACAAGCTTCTTGCAACTACTACCAGAAACAATGCTCCATGAATGGAATTTTCTGAAGCTGACTCTTAGCAACAAAACAGCGCTCATAATGTAGATTTTAGTTACAATTTACTAATTACGCGCACAGATCTAGCTGTGAGGGCGTCCTTTGACATGTCATATGACTGCTATACACGAGTTTGATTGTCTTTACTTCTAAGTGAACTGTTTCATTTAGGCGACGTATAAGAATGTTTAGCTTTTCGCTTGTGCACCGAAAAGATCTCGTTTTTGAGCTCTTAACCATCAACAAAGTTGACAAAAAAGTTTAAAGACCGGTCATAAACGAAAACGATACCTATACTCATTAGAGGATTCGTCAAATTGGAAGAACTACAACATACATTATGTGACGTTTATCATCAGAAGATAAGCAGCGCAAAACAGAACTGATTATGCAGTGTCTTGATGTCAATTGAATTCAATAACTTCCCTCTCCCTTTGACGGCTTTGTTTCAGTTTACAAGGACTAGGATCACGGTCACTATAAAGCGTACCAATTTGGCGTCAATCGCCTGTCCTTGTTGCCATGTTAATCATTTTTGAGTGTCAAAACAGACTAGACGAGCGTATCACCTTGTTGACTAAAAGACTTACACGGGAAGGATCATTGGTCCAAGTTCCCCTTAAAGGCAGTGTCCGGGCAAAAACTCGATTTTGAGATTTTGTGCTTACTTGGGCCTATTCGCTACGCTGAATCCGAAAATGCACATTGTAGAGCGCGAAAATGGCGAAAAACGGCTCTAACACAGGAGGGAAATGAGCAGGTGGGCGGGGCCCTCCCCACTGCGAATTCACGTTCCCGGCTTCCGGAGTGACCTTCTCGCTTCCGGTTTCAAGTCAATCATTCGCACTTGACCGGTAGCGATGTTAGGACGGCTAGCGGAATCGAGAAAATCGCTCCGGGAGCCGGGAGCGTGAAATCGCACTGGGGAAAGCCCCGCCCACCTGCTGATTTCCCTCCTGTGTTAGAGCCCTTTTTCGCCGTTTTCGCGCTTTCCAATGTGGATTTTCGGATTCAGCATGGCGAACAGGCCCGTATAAGCACAAAATCTCAAAATTGAGTTTTTGCCCGGACACTGCCTCTAAGATTGAGTCGCACATATTTTTGAAGGAAGGAAGTTGATTTCAAATTTGTCTTCCTTGTCTGCGGAACACCTAAGGGTGAAGCTAGACCGTTTCAAAAATCAAAGAGAACGCACAACGAGGAAAAAAGTTTGTGTATAACAGCCTGTACATTCCGCAGTCAGAGTTGTATTCGGGTCTGGGTATGAGACAGAAGCTGTTTCCCAGTATGGGTTTGAAACAAAAATTTCTTTGTAAAGAATGGTTTGACAAGCATTTCTGCTTCATCTTAACCCATGAGATGCTTCTGTTTACGATTTCCCTTTCTACGCCTTCCGATCTTCGTTACATAGCCGCTCCGCAGATAAAGAGGACAGATCTAGAAGCGGCTGATGCTTTGCAAAACCATATGTATGCATATCATCTCGAAAGGCTACTTCGATCAAGGATCCATCCTCAGTTAAGCGACAGCAAAATCGAAGAGAAACAATCTAAACACTCGAAGAGAAACAATCGAGAGGATATAAATGTGAGGCTTAGCTTGTTTGAACCTGGTTAAAAGAGAAATTACGAAATTCATGGGGTTCTCAAATCTCAAGCTTGTTGCTGGTCCAGCGGTTCCTTAAAACGTGATCCACGTAAACTGCTGCGACTGGTAGGTAAGTACCTATCTACATATACACACAGCTGTGATATCAGAGCAGCTCACAGCACGACTGGGAATTGATACGTAACGTTGCTGCACATCGACTTCATCGCTCTCGAGCAATATGCTACCCACATCAATCCCACGACATATGCTAAAGTCTTGTTCTATCGCAGCATAGTTTATTGGACGTAGATTTGCATGTTTCTGCAGTCAACATTACCGTCACGCCTAATTTTGATTACGGTAGGTCAGAAGTGCCTTTTACATTCTATAATTCAGTGGGGTTTAGGGAGATTTAAAAACTCAGTTGTAGGGTTTTTGATGTAGAACAAAGTTATGATAAATATGTGAAAAAGTTATGTGAAGGAAGAGAAATTTATGACTTTTTCTTTTTACAGCCACCTCAGGTGGCTTCCAGGCTGTAAAGCCACCTAACTCGGAAAAATGTTTGCCGCGACTTTAGTTCACATAACTTTTTCAGAATTTTTTGCACATAGTACTATCCCCCATTGCTCATCTACACACCCATTTTGGTGTCACTTCATTTTCACTTCGCTGTAAACAAGCCCTTTGCTTGTCGGCGTGCCGGCAGCAGATCGAAAGACAGCGGTATGCTCTTCGGCAAAAACGATATCCCCTCTGCTTTTCACCTCCAAAATGATATCCAGCTTGCCCGGTAAGCCACCTGTGCCATACTCAGCCCTCAATTTAATCTTACACATCTGTTCTCTTCCTGTTTTTCTTCCTGTTAGCTATTTCTTGCCTCAATAACGTTCGTGATTAGGGTTGACGTCGTTGTGGTTCAGCGATTTCTCACAATCAGACTGCTTGCTAGTTCTTCAATCTGAGTACAGGTAAACTTGAAGAAACGATAAAGATTAGGACTTGCTCGTACATTTTTTTTTGATAAGTAAAATGCGCTGTAGTGTGGCTTCGATGAATTAAATTACTTAGTTATGTCATCCGCATTCAGAGTTGAAGAAATGAGCATAGCCTTTCTAAGAAAGCGCTAAATCACAACAAAGACGTCAACCTGATGGAACATTAGCAAAGCACAAGAGAATCAGTCAACAGGAAGAAAAAGGGAAAGAAAACATGTGTAAGATTGAACCTGAGGGCTGAATTGAATGCGCCCGCTCTAGTGCAACCGGCTTGCCCCAGTTCAAATTAGAATTCATCCACCACGCCACGAGTAAAGTGAGGACGACTATGAAATGGTTTGCGAGAAAGCCAAGACACCTGCATGTCAATCGGGATAAAGCTGCGAGCGGAATGCAGTTCTCCCACCATGTTATTTAATGAGAAAAGGGAACTTCTGCTGATACCCGACAATATCGCGAGTTACCGGCGGGAATTCCTCCTCCAGAACTTTCTGCGGGATACCCATTCTGGTCAGGCTCACTCATTAATCGATGGAAAATCTCGGATAATGCGAATTATAAGTAGCACGTTTCAAATTGTTTCCAGCGCTGACATTTATTACCTCAGCGATTTCAATCTGGAAAGCTCTGAAATCTTCAGTTGCTAAAAATTTTATTTCAAGGCCAAAATAAATTTTTTAAGATTTTGAAAATTATTTTAATCAATTACAAGTATGAACAAGTAACTTGCACATTTTTAAAACTCATGCAAGTAACTTTCAAAAATTTCGCGACCCATTCCCCCCCCTACTCGGTACGCCACTGCCCGACGCAGCAGGATGTAATGCGACATCATCTTCCCAACAACCTATCAGATTCAGGTTTTCAGTTCAAGATAAAGAATAGCACTTTTATCCAGCGAGCGAATTTTACAAGCCTTTTCTCAGGTTTTCCATATATGAATCCACAGATTATGGACGTTACACATTACTCTTTCCCTACTCACAAAATCTACCAGAATATCCTTGAAGGCTGTTCAATCTGCGATCGCTCTAATGTGGAGTACCCTTTCAGCATCTCTACCTTGGATTTCGGCATTGTCCAGTCAACACGTCGAGCTTTCACACTATTTAGCAAATGAATGAGCTTTTGGGAAAACGAATGGCATAGTTACACATGTATTTTAGAGAATTTATGAGCACAGCAGTTTAAGATTTTACGTGTATAGGGTTACTGCCAAATCTTCATTTCCAGCTGCGAAACTTTCTATAAAAAGAGTTGCGGGGTGTTTTTCTCCAAAGGGTTTCAGCTCCTTCTTCGACTTGAACAATACAAAGATACGTAATGGTCACAGACAGCAAAGTGTTATGTGACTCGCTTGTTGTGGACGTTCTAGCTTCGATGTATATGCAACCTCTTATGAGGTTTTCATTACAATTCAAGTATGAGATGATGGAAGCTAGACGTTCATATAGTAATAGGCCGTTTTAAAAATAAGTTTTTCGAACAGCGCCACACTCCGAAAAGATCTATAGAAGATGGTTCAATGATACAGTTTTACAGTTTTCGAATGGTTGTATCTTTATTGCGGCTTGACCAACGAGCTCTCGGGAGATTACCATAAACTGCAATTCATTGTTTTTGCCATGAAGAACACCCAGTTAGGCACCGTCTCCGCGGAATACTGGTCCCAACACATGCACAAGAGTAGAACGAAAGGCCAACAGCCCGCGGAGGCGGTGCCTAACTGGGGTGTTCGTTTCTCTACCCGTCAAGTTCTGCTTTTTTCATTTTTTGACCCATTAGAGAAGCCCAAGTAACAAATGTGCAGGAACATTGAGAGATTGAGGAGTGAAGAAATTTATTAAGTGCACACCAAAAAAAAATTAGAAATCCAGATAAAATAACAAAAGAGAGTGACTCTTGTAACATTCAATAAATATTATCGCAATGTTCGTGGGATTCGACCCATAATTACTAGAAGACGTGCTCTCTTCCAACCGGTAACTCCATTGCTGCTACTGTTGCATTTGCTCAGGTGCAGCTGGCTAAAGTCGTGAATTTAAATCGAAATCATGGCAAAGAAGAGGCAAGATAAAGGGTCAGCAACCGAGTACCCATATCAATACTGAGTGAAATACTGCACCTCTGCTGGTTGTCCGATAGTGCGCGGAGTGTTGCTAATTTTGGCTAGATGTGGATCCACTTCAGAATCGTCCATAATTTTGAACGGTTGTCCCTTTCCGACGATAGCTATGGATGTGTTCTGAAAATGATACTTCAACTTACAATCACTTTGTACATTTGTTTTCATTCTTTTTACATTGGAGTATTACAGGGCACAATCAAAACAATTTGTCTCCAATAAATCGGTGATGAATGTTCACATGAAAAAACAAAAAAAAATTTTTTGTTGTAAAGCGAACCTGGCTAGTTAGATTTTCCTCAGCTGGGAGGGTATCTCTGAGGGCAAGAAGAGCATGCTCGATCAGTTCATCAGCGCTAGCTGAAAGGAAATATTTAGATAAGCAAAAAAAAAAATGTCCTTTCAGAACCTAAATGTAACGCGATAAAGATAATGGCACTTTCATGCAAAGCATTTTTTAAAGCTTTGCCAAAAAAATTCAGATATGGAGAAGTACCAAGTCCCTTTGATTCAACGAGATAGGCGGCTGGAAGGTGATCACTCGCGCCCGCGGCGCAGTCTGCGTCTCTCGCGGAAGTGCTCTGTGATCATTCTCCAGCCTCAATTAAGTCACAATCCCGCCTTCCAGCCGCCATTCCAGTTGAATCAGAAGCTATGTCATCTGAAATCCATCTAAAAAGGTCCTAACCTGCCCTGAATTTGTCAAGATGCCTTTCCAAGTAAGTACGAGCGGACTGAGATCGAGCACCGATTGAAGAAGCAAACATTTCCACTACTTCAGCAGAAGGATCGGACTGCACGATATGGGTGCCATCTTTCTGAAGTTTTGATAAAAAAAATATGCTTAGAAAGGAATGTTAGGTAAATACCCACATCATATCCGGCAATCAACAATCCTACACCAAATGGACGTCGACCGTAAATCTGTGTGTTGGTTTGCAGTTCTGAACAGAGTATTGACAACTTTCCAAAATCCAAGACTCAGTACTTACTTAATTGAAGATTATCAGACAAAGATGAGATCGGAACGGGTTGTTTGTAGTCCCAGCGCCAGCTTGAGCACTCAGTTTGCAGGTACCTAAATCAGAAGTATATCCATAATCAGAGTGATAATGAAGATAGCATACCTGGCAAGAATCCTACCATCTGACAATAAGCCTGCGATGGAAACACCAGCATGAGTGTCAATTTCATAGATTTTCTTTTGGTGAGAGCATAACTCATTTTGAGCACGCTGAAAAGCAATAGGTTTAAGAAACGCCGAAGCTAAATAGGCTATAATCATCAAAAGACATAAAGGGAGTATATCATCACAATGCAGGCGCGTAATGAGAAAGATCCCTCGCTTGACAAAATAATGTTGTGCAAACACTCGATAACCTGCTTGGCTGCAGCCACAACATGTATAAGTCATCAAAATGAGACGCAGAGAAAAATCAAAAAAGGAGGATCAGTGCCAAAATAAGCGCTTTCAATGCTCAAACTTGCCACAACTTTCTCGCTATTTTTCAGTGACCAAAACAAGCAAACATCACTAAACATCGACCCCAGGGGCGAGTAACCACTATAAAGTTAATGCACCATAGAAAAAGGAGCAAGAAAGTAAATGAGATATCCCCACAATGCAGCCGTAAACATTCGCAGCATAGCGTTCACTTATATTTGACCTTCCACCTTCCAAGCCCAACAAACGCAAAAAAATTTTGAATGCTGTACTTCCCCAATGATATAGAAAAACAAGACATCTTAGTGCCTTTGAGTAACAACCAAAAAATGGCGAAAAGACGATGTGGGTCAGAAATCTTCGTTACCAATTATCATGACTGTACTAGTCATGTATTTTGGTAACGAAGATTTGAGACGCTTTAGTACATACTTTGAGCGGAACTAATGAGAATATTTCTTCGAAGAGTCCTGTCATTTGCAGGGAGACAACGAGATAGACAAAGACGGGGACAAAAATACTTAGCCCGTGCAAACCTAAGCTTTTTACTTCAAAACTGATTGAGCAGTCCCAATTATGTCTCTGAGGGGCCAAGCGAAAGCTCTTGGTTTGCTTGTGGCCCAAGCTTTAGACTAGGTTGCACTCTCTACGTGCTAATTGTGTTTGCTTGGGTAAACTAAACTATTTGGCAGGAGGATCATACAAGCTCCTCAATCGGTATGTCCACGTACCCAGATTTAGCTGCACACAGTCCACAAGAAATGAGAGTAGACATAAAGATGATACTCGTACTACCACTGTGGAAGCCCACCTTCAATGCAGCCAACACAGCATGCGTCTCACTTTTGATCCCAACCGTTGCTGATCCTTGTTTCATAGCTTCGACGGCATAATCCACTTGATGTAACCGACCCTAGAAACAATGTGATCTTCTTCATTGATAAGACATTGATGAGCTATGTTATTTTCATTTCACTAATTATAATGTAGGGGAAGATATCAAGAAGACGGACGATACAGATTAGACAATATGAAATCTAGTCAAACCGACAAGCTTGAACGGTACCTGAGGGCTCCACACAGTCACATCACTGTCGTACTGGTTGCGGAACATAATCGACAGTCAAGCCCGAGGATGCCCAGAAAAAACTTTTTTTATTATGGTTGCAAATGAAAAGCGAGAAGTATGTCAAGGTTCAAAGCCAAGAGAGCGCGGTACTTCCGGATAATCACTTCACACAAAGGGTGAGAAAATAAAACAATAACTGTAGCTGGGAAAGCAAACAATTGAGAAATACTGCGGAAAGCGGTTTGAATTGCCAAAATCATCATTGTTGCTCAACTTTCTTCCAGAGGCGCGCCGTCGCGCTGCGTTTCCGTTTGGAGCACAGAATCGCCACAGGTTACCAGAGAAAAGGTGAACGTTTCCTGCCGAAGAATTTACGAAAATGACCGGTGAAGATTTTCTGCCCTAGAGACGTGCTGTAGATGTTCTGTAACCTTCTTGTTGTAACATATTCAATAATGTCTGTTACTATAAATTGATCTCCTCTTAGCGCATAACCACTTTTGAGTTTCAATCTTGTCTTAGAGTGTCAAGTCTAACGAGTTAGCTATTCTCGGGACTTGATCCCTCTACCCTGTTGTATTGCATCTTAACAGAACAGTTCTTGACTAGATGATTTTATCTCTATATTACATGTATATGAAAATGGGGGACAGAATTGGGGAGGGGACCACCGAGCACCCGGGGGGTGCCAGCTCATCTGGAGATTCTGGGCACCGCCCAGTTCGTGGGGACTGTCGGACCATCCAATTAGTCTGCGTCTCGACATGTCCATTCCTTAGCAAAGCTCGTCCTCGAGCTTGCATCTTTGACCATGGCTCGGGAAGAGAAGAAACCATGTAACTTTTGATCATCTCGGGGTGCACGTTTGACCATTTGACCATCATCATCATCACCATCGTCATGTCGTCATCAACCATCATCATTGATCGATTTCTAGCTTGTTGTCGTATCGTCATCGATTGAATTTGTCAGGAACAAGGGTGTCGACCCCCTTACCTGAGTGTGTAGCGGTGTCTTACATAAGACTGGTTATCATATTTATTATATACATAAAGATACAGAGAAGGGAAAGGGAAGGGGAGCAGCTAGGCTGCACGGGGTGGAGGCGACTGCCGTGCCAGTTGCTGGCACGAGCTTATATATGCGACTGAGTGTAAACGGCTGGACAGTTGGTGGATGCTTCCGATAGCAAGCTGCATCCAACTATAGGGTTACACAGCGTCTACATCCTGACATCTCCATTCCTTCGAGAAGCTCGTCCTCGAGCTTGTTGTAGCAAAGGTGGTGTTGGTTATGGTATCATGGCAGCGGAAGGTGTTCGTTGTCGTTATGCACGCGGAGTTAGGTAGGTGAACTGCGTAAACAGTTACGACCTCTCCTATCCCGGGCACTTCGAGAAGCTCGTCCTCGAGCGGAAGGACATCGATGGTCTTAGTTGGTCTTAGGAGTAATCGGCAATACAACATTGGAAAAAATGATATAGGTGGCTTTTCGTGCAAGACTGGCATGGAGTTCTTTTTGGAGATGGGGCAAAAGGTGGGAAGAATTGAATTGCGTTGAACTACGGGTTGACATACATCAATATTGTGCATTTTCATGGGCGTAAGTAAACATGAAAGCTAGTCTTACAAAAAAAAAATTACAAGCGAAAACTGTTTTGACAGGGTTGCTCAATACAGTAACAAATCAGATCTTGAATTATCAGCTTAAAATGGTTATGAATGTAGACCCTATGTTAATATACATACATGTATCTCAATCATAGCTCTATCATAGACGTAGGGACAAGTGTGGAAGTAGTGACAACATTTATGCTACTTTCTACACAAGGGCAAAATTTTAGACTGCTACAAATTTGTTTTGTACGCTGCTTGATAAAAGGAACTTCTTTGGATCGCCTTTCCAAAGAAGAGAGATGCGATACGCAGCGGTGCGGCCAAAAAAACGAAAAGGTAAAACTTACCACAGTATGGTGATGCAAAACGTTCAGCATTTCTTGCATTTTTGCTAGAGAATTACTAGATAGTCGAAAAAAATAATAATAAGAAATCCGAACAACTGTTTTTTTCATTCACTGCTTTGAAGACTGTAATTATCCAAAATTGTTGACATCTTTTTTTTTCGTGAGTGATACAACAGAATATACGAAAAATCGTGTGGACGCCAACAATTTTTTTCTTGCAAGCATCTGTATGTCGACCACCTCCTAATCTTTTCTTATTCGGAAAATACTGAAGTTTGAGAAACATCAGTTGTTAGGGGCATACATACAGATATGATCATTGGGATACAATATACAATAAATTGGCAGAAACCGTTTCCACCGAGTTTTTTTTCAAATGGCCGAGATTAGGCAAGAGTTCTGATGGAGTCGGCTTTTACAACAAGCATGGTAATCCTACTAATCAATTAAACATACCTTCTGCTGCTTGTTGCAGTGCATCAGATACCAAATTTAGAATTATGGAAATTAGACTGTGTAAAACTTAGAGACAACAAAATCTAATTTGGCAGTGGGGGACTTTCTGCTTAGAGCTATGGTTTTCTAATGTAAAAGAATTAAGAATATGTGTGTAAATGGACCTATTTATTTACTGTTCATACTTCGTAGTTGAACTACCAAAATATGAGAATATCACTGCGAAATGCGACGTTCGTTAAAAGTCATCGAAAATAATTTTAAAAAAATGTACATTCTTTATCGCGGTGTTCTCTCGCAAGGTCTTCACATCTATTTTCATTACATGTTTTATGGGAATTTTTTTTCCAGTTTTGAATGAACTCGTGAGTGGTGATGAGGGTTACAAAATCTGTTTTTCCGTAAAACTTTGAGCAATAAGTTTTTTGACAAAAATCTTCACTTATTTCTTCTTCCCAAAATAATCTTGTTATTTCTTTTTGCAATGAAGTTTTTTTTTCTCGAACATAAGAAGGACCATCAGAGAAACTGCGATTCGTTTGCTTCAGTGAAAAAAAACCTTCTTTTTAACTTGATTTGCGCAAAAAGTGTTGATATATTCGCAGAAAAAAAATGATGAAATGGGCTTTTTGATTTGCTAACTTTACGTGCATTTCATTAGAAACATATTATAGTGCCGACTGTCATTCTTCGGATCCGCTTCATACTAAACGCGTCTTTAGATCTGCTTCGAACGTGTGAATTAAAACTGAAATGACTGTCCGAGCTTTCCCACAAAGATACGTTCCCGAAGCAGTAGCTAGTTCACTCCAGTCAACTGTAATCAACATGGAGGAACCCCTTGTTTTCTTTGCGTTTCTACCGAGAATAAAATAGATAGCTCCGCTGTTACTCAATCAGGTAACTCAAAAAGTATATGGCATTTGCGAACCAGTTTCTAAAATATTATTGTAACTGCTTTGCAGTAAACAATAAATGGATACAATATTATTTCCGAATAAGAACTGAGTCGAAATTTTTTTTCTTGATTAAGGTTTCAAAAGGTTTGAGTGAGTGGGTGATTTCAATACATGATGTTGTCTTTTGTCCAATGGTAATGATCAGTTTACCCATCAATGCAGTAGTATGTGCCTTTGTTTTGTTCAGCTCCCAGCACGTGAGTGATTACTAACTCGTGTGCATTCAGTGACTGGTTTTAGATAAGCCAATGGAACAAAAATCTTTCTCTAATCCAAGGGTGCAAATTACAATGAGTGCAGTAGTGGTACTATGCAAAATTTACTAAACTTATTCATTACTTATTCATTTCCACATTATCCAAAATTGAGGCAGAAAAACGTAAAAGACTACACTATATAGAATCTGTTGCATAAAGTTCACGTTCTCTATGCATGATAAATGAAAATCTGCATTGGTCTCACTTTGAGAAGCAGTGTGTGTAACCTATGAGTTTTATGAAAAAAATATAATCTATGAGCTCTTTTTGAAACAAAAATAAGAGTGGCGGAAAGTTTTGACGAAACTTTGACTTAAGAACACCTTTGAGTTGTTAACCAGTAAAATAAAGAACAATTTTTTTTCGTATATACGTGCAATGAGTTCGTTTTATAGTTAGACGACTATTTTTTTTTGTAAGTTGCATCAAAGCAAATCAGTGTGCAAGTTTCGCTTTTGCTTTCAAGTTTTGTCAAACTTGGCAGCTGATCTTATACGCAGGTATTGGAAATAATTTTGAGGAGCGTTGAATTCCTTCAAAACTATGAGTGTAGAAAACCCATGCCAATATGCAGCTGCAGATATATGTAATAAGAAGTTTTTTTTATGAACATATAAATGGTGAGGGTTGCAAGAACTTGTTTCACAGTGAAACTTTTGAGCAGTAAGTTGTTGACTTGTCTTAAATTTTCTAATGTGATCCAAATCTTTGCGCTGAAAAAAAATCTTTCCAAAGAAAGAACAAACGTAACAGTTTTTGCTGTGATAGCTAAACAAACCATTCTGCCTAATGGAATTACGACTGGCATTATTTTTTTTCCTACATCATAACATGTATCTTCCTTTGCAAAAGTTATATTTATTGTCAACTGTTTTTTAAAACAATTGGCCATTTCCTTTCTAAGGCTAACTGACAAACGTTCTTGCAAAAAAGATTTTTTTCAAACCTCATGTTCAAATGCAATATTGAACTTCGTTTCAGTTTCGAAATGACTACTTTTGCTGTCGCAAATAGTATCAATAGAGTGCAGGATAGTGTGCAATGTAAGATTACGCCCTTTGCCTACATATACTTTATCAAGCTTGATTAGCATCGGCGAAGTATCTTATTTGCTAGTGGGATAATAATCAGACAGTTCTGTGAAAACTGTTTTGGGTTTGGAGGTCAAAGTAGGATGCTAGCGGCTGTGCGTCTACAGATTCTATCTGGATGTTAATTCATTATCCAACATTGAATGATCTTTGGAAGGATGGTAAAAAAAAATGGAAAAATAACGATACAGTAACTGCAATGGCCTACTTTTTTGAAAAGAAGATTGGCCTCAGCAAATTTTTTTTTACTTCTACTATTTTGCAAATTTTGCTACTTGTTCAGACATAAAAAAATTGCGTCACATATTTTCACAAAAAAAATTTTTCCATGCAAATGTGGCATTAACC